AGCTTCACAGACAAGGCGGCAGCGGCAGCCAAAAGCGAAATCATGAACAGAGACAAGCTTGGGAGACAAGGCGGCAGCGGCAGGCAAAAGCGAAATCATGAAGGGGGAGAAGCTTGGGAGACAAGGCGGCAGCGGCAGCCAAGAGTGAAAGTATGAAGAAAGACAAGCTTCACCGACAAGGCGGCAGCGGCAGCCAAAAGCGAAATCATGAAGGGAGACGAGCTTGGGAGACAAGGCGGCAGCGGCAGCCAAGAGCGAAATCATGAAGGAAGACAAGCGGCAGCCAAGAGCGAAATCATGAAGGGAGACAAGCTTGGCATTGGAAGACAAGCCGGCAGTGGCAGCCAGGAGCGAAATCATGAAGGGAGACAAGCTTCACAGACAAGGCGGCGGCAGCCAAGAGCGAAATCATGAAGGGAGACAAGCTTCACAGCGGCAGTCAAAAGCGAAATCATGAAGGGAGACAAGCTTGGGAGACAAGGTGGCAGCGGCAGCCAAGAGCGAAATCATGAAGGGAGACAAGCTTCACAGACAAGGCGGCAGCGGCAGCCAAAAGCCAAATCATGAAGGGAGACAAGCTTGGGAGACAAGGCGGCAGCCAAAAGCGAAATCATGAAGGGAGACAAGCTCCACAGACAAGGCGGCAGCCAAGAGCGAAATCATGAAGGGAGACACGCTTGGGAGACAAGGCGGCAGCGGCAGCCAAAAGCAAAATCATGAAGAAAGACAAGCTTGGGAGACGAGGCGGCAGCGCCAGCCAAGAGCGAAATCATGGAGGAGGACAAGCTTGGGAGACAAGGCGGCAGCGGCTTGGGAGACAAGGCGGCAGCGGCAGCGGCAGCCAAGAGCGAAATGATGAAGGGAGACAAGCTTCACAGACAAGGCAGCAGCGGCAGCCAAGAGCGAAATCATGAAGGGAGACAAGCTTGGGAGACAAGGCGGCAGCAGCGCCCAGCGAAATCATGAAGAGACAAGGCGGCAGCGGCAGCGGCAGCCAATTTCCGCAATCAGGGACCCCTCCATTGAGAAGTAAGAACCCCTTATAGCTTCCAGCTATCTGGGGGAGAAAAAGCAGAGGAAGCTCTATACGGCAAGGCCCCTAGAGTAGGCAATGGATACTTCCGTAGAGGACAGGAACCCCTTGTGGACATGGTTCAGAAGATTGTTCGCGACAGGGAGGTTCACTTAATCACCTCATGTAGGGGAACGGATAGATACCGAGTAGGTGGAGTAGACCTTGAGGGGAACAAGTACCCACTGAGAAAGACAGTGATAGTGGGTAGGGAGTCTGGAGAGGTGGGAGGACTTAGGCCCCCCTCAAAAATGGACTAAGATGACTAAGCTCCTACCAAGAGTTCCGAATGAGAGCAGAGATGTACCTATGCCAGGAAATAAAGATCCTGAAGCAGTTCCAGGATTCGCAGAATCAGCAAGTACAGATTTGCCAATGGCCGAAGAGCCCAACCCTGAGAGCATCCCAACGCATGTCTGGACCAAACTTTAGAGGACTTTCTGTGAGGAGCAGAAGGAACTACGTAGGCTTCACTGTAATCTAGGACATCCCTCACCGGAAGAGATGAGTCGTTTCCTTAAGGAAAGAGGGGCAAGCGAAGAGGTTCAAAAAGGGTTTGGACATGCATTGTGATACATGTTTGGAATCTGAAGGAAAACGACGGCTAAGTCACCCCGGACACATCCACCCAGACCTGACTTTAATGATGTTGTGGGGATGGACGGAGCCTACTGGACCAACAAGAAGGGAACCATGTTCTTCTTTACACACATCATAGATGAGGGGACCCTTTGGGCACCTTCAGGGAGGGAGATTGCGGAACAGATTAGGATCTGGGAAAACTTGTGGTTCCAATGGGCAGGTCCATGTAAGGCACTCTATTTAGACCCGGCTGGTGAATATCGTGGGGAAAAACTCCTTGACTTTGCGCAACGTGAAGGAGTTCACATCATGATGTCTGCTGGAGAGAGCCCATGGCAGTTGGGAAGGTGTGAAGTTCATGGTGGAATTGTGAAGAGGATGTTGACCCACATGGACCAAGATCGACCAATAGATATGGCAGAAGACTTTCAGTGTGCCCGTAGGCAAGCCTTCCACGCCAAAAACTCTCTGAGCTGAGCAGAGTTGATGGATTCACGCCAGAACAAGCACTGCTGGGCAAGTCGCGTTCCCTGCCAGGCTCATTGGTCTCAGATGAACAGTAGCATCACATGCCGGCCAGGAAAGGATTTGTTCAGGCAGACAATGACTCCGCCTTTCGACGAGCACTCCTTCACCGAGGAACTGGATACTCTACTGGCGCATAGAACGAGGCCGCTGGAGAGGACCAGCCCAAGTGATAGCGCTGGAGGGTAGTAAGGTGGTCTGATCAGCCATACTGGAAGATTAGTCCGAGCCACTCCACAACAATTGCGACCTGCCTCTCTTAGGGAATATCTCAGGCTACCTAGGGACAGTATGGGAAAGGTTCTTGATGAGAGACCCCAGCATAGCGCTATGTTGAATTACAAGAAGATGAACTCTCCGAAAGAGAGGAAGTGTCCCATCACCCTCAAACAGGCTCAGTGGGAGGTGAACAACCAGAAACGGAGGCCTTTCCTTCAGAACCACCATCAATAGAACTGCCTCCGTCAGAACATCGCTCCCATGAAGCCAGTGAACCAAATGAGGAACCACAGGAAGAGACAGGAAACGAGGAGGAATGCACCCCAACGATTGTAGATGAGGAAGTCCCTCTTGATGGAACGGATGTCCCTGTACCTGTAAGCGATGATGACTTATTAGTGGCATTTGGAGATGATGTGAGGTTGGGGACTGACCATAAGGGATGGGAAATCCTCCTCACCAATCCTATCGACCTTCCAGTAGAAGGAGCAAAACAGGTATGCGAGAACGTTGAAATTTTTGAAGTGTTCATGGCCAGCAAGCCAAAGAAACAACATGTTGAGGTTAGGTATCGTGATTTGGACCGTAAGGAAAGGCAGCTTTTTGATGAAGCAAAGCGGAAGGAAGTTCAAGCTTGGGTGGACCATGGAACAGTAAAGAAACTTACAAAAGGGACACTCAACCCAGAACAAATCATGAGGTGCCGGTGGATGGGGGGGGGAAGAATCCTCTACCAGGACCCACAGAATTTCGTGCAAAGGCTAGGTTGGTATTTTTGGGTTTTGAGGATCCAGGAATTGGGAAGATTGATACCAACGCACCGACCCTTTCAAAGGATGGTAGACAGCTGCTGCTCCAACGAGCAAGTTCAAATTCCTGGCCCCTCTTCAACTTCGATGTCCCCACCGCATTTTTGAGAGGAAAAGGAGACGGTCGTGAGCTAGGAATGCGTGCGCCTGTTGAGCTCAAGCCAGCCCTTCAGATGAGTTCAACAGACCAGTGTGGTCTAACTGGAGGAGCCTATGGAAGAGCAGATGCACCACTCCCATGGTACAATTCATTAAGGAGACCCTTGATCGTCTTGGCTTTGTAGCCTGCCTCTTTGACGGTTGTGTGTTCTCCCTGATTACCAAGATTTAAATGGGGTACCCAAAGTGAGGGGAGTTTTGGGGATACATGTGGATGATGGAATAGGAGGTGGTGACTCATACTCCCAGGCAACCATCCAAAGGTTGAAGGAAAATATAGTTTTAGAGCATACTATGAAAAGGAGTTTGACTTCTGTGGGATCCACTTCAAACAAAGGGAGGACAGTTCCATAGAAATGGATCAGAACAAGTACGTAGAGAAGATATCCGCCATTCATGTGAATAGGGAAAGGAGAAAGAAACCGGACAGTCCCGTGGATGAAGCAGAAAGACAACAGCTCCGTGTGGAAGCGTGCAATACGCATCAGTTCATACCAGGCCAGACATAAGTGCCAAGGTTGGAGTAACAGCGTCAAAGATAAACAAAGCTTGTGTGGAAGTACCTGCTTCAAGCCAACCGGGTACTATATGAGGCCAAAACAAATAGAATGAGCTTGATCATTGTTCCGACCCCAGAGGCAAGAGTGACCTTTTGTGGATTTAGCGACGCTTCCTTTTCCAGAAGCAAAGGGTCACCATCCAGACGAGGAGCCTTGATCGTCTCTACCGACCAACGGCTTGTGCAAGACCAACAGGCTGTGATATGTCCAATAGCATGGTCATCCAAGAGAATCCCACGGGTAGTAAGTAACATCCACGTTAAGTTCAGAAGCCATTGCACTTAGTTCAGCACTGGACAGGTTGAGTTACATCAGGGTAGTTTGGGAATGGTTGAAGAATCCATCAATCAATTGGACCGATGTCGCAGAAGTTTTGAAGGCTGCGCCAAAGGCTTGCGTCGCAACAGGTTGCAAGAGTGTCCACCCCAATGTTCAGAGTACCAAACGACTCTAGAGTGCCTTCTCATTCGACAACGCCTTCAAAAAATGTCTCGCTGCGGTGGATCTGTAGCCAAGCCATGTTAGCTGACTCATTGACTAAATGTATGAGTGGGGACGTTCTGAGGGAAGCCTTGAGAACGGGGCTTTACAGGTTGTTTGATGAGAGCGAAACACTGAAGAGCAGAGCCACAAAACGCGAGAGATTGAAATGGATAAAGGAAGGCAAAGCTGATGGACAAGAAGAAACACATTCATGAGCCAGTTTTGTTTTTTGAAAATTTTTGACTTTCTGGGAGTGTGAATGCTCAATGAATGAACATGGTCCATCAGCTACACGAATGCCCATCCACCAAAACGGTGGCTCAAGCTGGACGAAGCCAAGGACACAAAGGGCCGCGAGTGTAGGATCACTTAGGAGGAAGATCACACAGGGTGTATCATTCAGAATACATAATATATATATATAGAACATGTACATTTGTATATATAACATGTAATTACACATACGACAACTATATATATATATACACACACCAATATGTCGTTCATTCGCTCCTTGGATTCGCATTGTCCTTTGTACTTTTGTCCAAGTACTTTGATGCCTTTTGTGGGGGATGAACTCGCCTGAGGCAGCGACCCATGTGGGACACTTGACCATTCTAAACTCAAGGGGGACTGCAGTCATCAGAGCTGCGCCCCCCAAGCGCCGAGCTTGCAACATTGTGCAGTTCGCGTGAGTAGAGTAGGATCGGCCAACCCGGACAAGGCAGAAATCAGAAGAAATCCAAATCCTTACTGTTCGCTTGTAGTCGTCGTGTCCGGCTTGGCTTCACACCAAAGACTCTTTACCAGCTCGCATTTGCGGGGAAAAAACGACTTTATGGTCGGTTTGCATTGAGGAAGTATACTGGAAGCTTATTGAAAGATGTGTATATACTATACTGTACATACACATAAATTACAGAGGGTTCTGAGATGAGAGTCGGTCGGCTCCTGGAACGCGCCTTTGCGCCACGCAGTTGCCAAGTGTACGCCTGATATGACTCCCGATGGCATCGACCTCACTGACCAAGAGTACTTGACGAGGCTTTGACTGTTTTGAAGGATGTGCTCGTCAAGTCACCCCCATGTGTCTCTTCTTCACAGCAGAACTTCTTGAGATACTTATTCCACTTAATAATCCATTTGCAATGCAGGTTGCCTGCTGGTTGAAGTCAGGATTAGTTGTTGACAATTCATGTATAGCAATGTCTGCATGCTCGTGAAACAGGTTCGGTACAGTCGTGGTGTTTGTTTTCTTGAACGAGATCGAGGCCAGGAACTCCCACAACAGCAGCAAACAGGATGGCAAAGGGCAAAGGGCATATTAGTTTTTCGCAAAAAGAACCATTGGCATTCCATTCTAAACCCGAAACACTTCCGAATAATCCCAAACAGGTCAATTGCCATTCCTTTTCATCTCCTTGACCTTTTTTTGTCAAATGCCTTGATGGGCAGCAACACAAAGAGCTGTAGGCGTCGCAATGTCCACTGTAGCATGCTCGATAGTACAAAGGGTTCAGAACCAGTGAACTACGAGATTGATCATAACCACCCGGGCACTACACCGATCATGCTCCTCGTGAATACTACAAGTGCATATGAGATCATGACTGGCTGCTGGCTGGCATCAATTTGAGAGAGCTGTTGGTTGAGTCCAGGCTGCTGATCTTTGCTTCCCCAGCCTCGGCATTCAGGCCACGTGGAGGGCGCTAACCGGCAAATCCTCATGGAAAATGACATACCTCCACCTACTAGCGATGGCCTCCAACCTAGTAGCGATGGCCTCCAACCTAATATCCATATATACATGATTTAAGAAGATGTGTTTGGTTGCCGCCATTGTCATGGGGCGCCTGACGGCGCCTGGTACTTTTTGTGCAGTTTTTACGTAGAACGAGGACATTAGGAGCAATTTGTAACGTGCACGTAGGGGGGGGCTGGGTGGAGTGTGGGGTAATAGCGTACGTGCTACTTAGAACACGGAGATGATGAGCAATGCTTTGTGTAGGATACGGACATGATTACCAAAGCTGTTGTAGCAGAACATGTGTTGTTGCCTAACATAATTGTACAGCAGATGCACACACACAAACACTTGAGATTGGTGCACGTATGGTCGGAATGCCACGGCCCCGAAGAGATCCCGGGGAAAGGAGAAAGTCATAGTTAAGCTTCCCAAAAAATCTTGAAACCACATCATTAGAGCGCGCTATTCTGCGTCCAGTATTGTTAGTAACTACTTAAGCGACTAGCTACGGGGGGAGCGGGCTTAACAGATCAAGGATGTGTCCTCCAGCTGCGGCTTAAATGCGCCTAGAAGCAACACACAGCAGGTACAAGACACTACGTCGCTTTGTTCCCCAAACAGCTTTTGCTGTGAGGGGTTTTCAATTCTTGCATAGAATCGGTCCTAGGCCAAGATGATTTCTGCATGTTGGGCTGAGAGGTGCTTTGACTCTCCTGGATGCTGGGCTGATAGGATTTTGCTTTGTCTCTCTTTGCGATGGGCTCACAATGTGTTTTGTGTTCTTTTGTCTCCGTGTGTCTCCCATGGCTCTTTTGGGGTGCTGCGCTGAGTTTGCGTTCCTTTGTCTCCCTGTGTCTCCCATGGCTCTTCTTGGGTGATGGGCTGAGATGATGCTGTGTCTGTTTGACCCCTTTGGCTCAAAACCGGCGGCAAGAGCTTCCAGAATTTATCGACAAAAAGGAACACCACGCCGCCGCTGCTGTTTGGGGTTCGTGTAATTAGCACGGCTAGGCAAACGGTCACCTTAAAATCATTCAAACTCTAGGGTGTACACACCCACGCAACAGGAGATTCTTGTGTGACTGTACGCTGGATCCAGATGGTTGCCCTCGGACGTTGATTTTTTCAATATGTACTTTGCACTTGATTTAACTTATAGAAGACATCTTTTGGATCTTTGGGCACCTTCCGAAGAAGGCCTTTCTATCAAGCCACCAGGCGCCTCAAAGGATGATATTTTGCTCAAGATCAACTGTTTGGTGTTGTGTTTCGATCGCTTGGCCCAAAGATGGTTGGAGGTATTGAAACGACGCATCCTCCATCATGTTGCATCGGCACTTCATTTCAGATTCTCGGCACATTGTTTTTCCGCCGAAAGTAGAGGACGCTACTAGTAGCAAAGGGCATCGCTACTAGGAGCTATCGGACGCTACTAGGGGCTCCTGGCATCGCTGCTAGGAACAATGTTTGCTATTAGAAACAAGAATAACAAAACCAGAATCACCCTGACCAGAATCCACTGTCTCATTCGCAAGCGAAATCCGCTTTGCAGGTCACTCCTTGTTCAGCCTGTGCTGTGGTGCTTCACCTAGTTATTGGAACGAACAATGGCACAGCCTTGCATGTGCCAAAGCTTTTCGAAGCTGCGGATAGCATCGATGAGATGTGACTTTGGGTCCGGGTAGTTATATTATATATTGCGAGAACAAAGCATTCCAACTCACGACCATGCATAACACATGCAAACCTGAAGACCCTTTGAGCGGTTCAAAGAGCTCACGCATGGTAGCGGAGCCGTGAAGGGCACTCCGAAGGTTTGCCCCGAGCTCCAGAGCTCTTACAAGGAGACAGGACCCACATCTCCTTCGGCCCCCCGTTCCTCGCTTTCGCCGTGCCACCATAAACTAATGTTGCACGATCTCGCATTCATTGCTTGAGATTACGTGGTCGGAGCGTGAAGAACACCTTGGACTACCACTTTGCCCACACCCAGTTGAAGAAGGAGGTTTCTGAGGTCCAGGAAGCGGAACCACATCCTTTTGCCCGAGGCCGTCCCGGAGTCAGAGAAGGGAGAGGTTGAAGCCTTTTGCATCCAGGCTGAAATGGACGGGTCTGGACCTACAGGTTTCGATTATTTGACACAAGCCTTGATTGCAACAGCCCAAGCAGCAACTCAGGCAGTTCAGACAGCTACATCTACAGGGTCTGGGACAGGAGCTTCAACCGGAGAACCTAGTGGCCTTTTGAAGAAAGACCTAGCCCGTTTGATTCCAAGACCTGGCATTTTCCAGCCCACTGACAGGGAACAGGAGATTCTTCAGTGGAGAGACTGGTTTTGGAGTATGAAACAGTATTTGGTGGTGGTGGACAGCGCCTACCAGGACGAGCTGGAGAAGATTGAGGAGAAGAGTGGAGAGGAGATCGAATGGTCATTCCTCACGGAGAAGGAGCAAGAGAGGGCACGCTTCCTGTATAGCTTGCTTGGGAGCTTAATCCATGGAAGGTTGGTCGGACTGATCAAGAACGTGCCCCACTACAATGGATTCGAAGCGTTGAGACAGTTGATACTCAATTGCCAGCCCCAAGCTTGAAATCGAACAATGAACTTGTTGCAAGGCATCATGGCCTATCCGAGCTTTAACATGAAGCTGTCCATTCTGCCCCAGCTGTTGAAGTTGGAAGAGCACTTCACGCAGTATGAACGGTTGGGAGGAAAGCTACCACCAGATATGAGGGCTGCAGTTCTTCTGAAGGCTATTTCTGGCCCCCTCAAGGTCCACCTCAACATGACGTTGAACGAGGGCAGCTCCTATGGCAAAATAAGAGAGGCAGTGCTGGCCTATGACACGGCAAACACGAAATGGAACGAGTCAGCCGCACTGAGTTTTTCAAGTACGAGCCCAATGCAGTCCAATTTGAACGACATCAATGGACCTGCCCCCATGGAGGTGGATCGGTTGAAAGGAAAAGATAAAGGAAAAGGGAAGACCAAAGACCTGAAGGGCACCAAGGGCAAGGGCAAAGAGGAGAAGGGCAAGTCCAAGGGAAAAGGGGGGAAGGCCGTTGCTGGGCCTAAGAGTGAAGGAAAAGGAAAAGGTGGGAAAGAGAAAGGAAAGGGCAAAGGGTCGACAGAGACCTGCTGGACGTGTGGACGTCCAGGGCATTTAGCAAAGGACTGCTGGAGAGTCCGGCAGATCGAAGCTCCAGCCTCAAATGCCCCGTCAAGCCCACCTACAGTCTCACCAAGCACTACGACGTCGATCCAGCCGGGGAGCGAGACCACGCTCAAGGCGGTGAGGCGAGTTTCACAACCCCTGATCTTCGATTTGAGGAGCTATGAGGAGAGCAGTGGGTCAATTCGAATGCTGCGAGAGGTGGAGAAGCCGAGGAAGAGAGCAGCAGTTGAGTTCTACAACATCGCGACGGACGATGAGGAGGACTACGACGGTGCTTTGAGGGTGAATGCCATCTATGAGGTGCCACCTGAGGAGGAGTACCAGGTGGATGATGGCCCAACCGGCGATGGTGATGGAGTGATGGCAACGATCGTCATCGATTCAGGAGCAGATGCTCCAATCTTCCCAGGCCACATGTTGAAGCAAGGCCGGAAAGCTCGTGGAATGTCGCCGTATCTCCAGGATGCTCAGGGAAGGGCAATCAGAACCTATGGGCACAGAGACATCGACATTGAGCTGAAGGCGGAGGACGACAGGCTGGTGGTGTTGAAGGAAAGGGTGACATTCAGTGACGTGGTGTCCCAACCTATCCTTTCTTTTGGTCATCTTCTTCGGTCAGGATGGTCAATCAGTGGAGAAGAGAGGTGTTTGGTCAACGGAGAGGTGAAAGTGCCTATTGACCTGCAGAA